AGTCAAATATGGAGTTTACATAACTGTTGTTGCTGCTAAGTCTCTTTCATTGACACACAAAACACACATCAACCAAAGTCTTAATTTGCAAACAAATTACTAAAACAAACACCATTGCAGCTAAAAGTCACACACCTACATGACCACCACATAGCAAATCAACAACCCAACAAACAACACAAGAGACAAGTTGTTCAAATAGGTTGCGGCCGAGGGTGGTGGTCTAACGGGCTGCGGTGGATCGTACGGAGGATCATAAGGTGGTGGAGGCGTAACGGGCTGCGGTGGATCGTATGGAGGATCATAAGGTGGTGGAGGCGTAACGGGATGTGGTGGATCGTACGGAGGATCATAAGGTGGTGGAGGCCTAACGGGCTGTGGTGGATCGTATGGAGGATCATAAGGTGGAAATGGCTCGACTGGAGGTTTCGGCTTAACGGGCTCCGGCTCCGGCGAGTCATACGGCGGATCATGAGGTGTAAATGGCTCAAATGGAGGTTCGTGAGTGTGCGGCTCGTATTCTTGAGACTGAACGGGCACGTGCAACTTGAGCCCATTTTTGCAGTTTTCCGGGTTTGCGCTAGTGAAGTACCTCACACCTTCTTTCTCTAGTTCGACTTGGCTCACAGGGTCCGTGTACATTCTGATTGGGTTTGTGAGATCGCATGAGTGAAAATCCTCCGGGCTCTCAAGCTCCACAATGTTGTCATCTGTCCCTGAACAATTGAACGCTGCTCGATGGCCGAGCCCCAGTTATTTTCCATAAATAATAAAGTTAATCATTTATGTAAACACATCTAACCCAGCTTTCTTTCTATATTTATTTGATTGTTTTCCTTTAAATAAAAATTTTGTAAATTGTGGTTAGGAAAAAAAAATTGCACTATGTACTAATTAGTTATGAATTATAGTCCTTATAATTATGAGTTTACAAGTTTAAACCTTGCTACTCTCTCAATTTCTATATTAATTCTTTTTTCAATAAGAAGTATTTATTGTTCAATTTTTCCGCAAATATTTAGGTGCGCCCTGGACACCTAACAAGGTATGCCAAGACATTTTTAAAATGAACATGTTACATAATAAAATGAGCATGTGTAAAAAATGAGCATGTTTACACATGTTCATTTTATTATGTAACAAGCATGTTCATGTTATGATACATTATGTATCATGTTCATTTTAAATTGTTTTGGTACACTTTGCTAGGTGTGCCAGGGTGCACGATAGTAGCACTATAATTTTTCACATTTGGTCTATTCTACAATTGACCCGACCAATGACCCGGGGACCCGGATGCTACGATGGGTCAATGCCCGGACCAGATTAAAAAACGCGTGCAAGTGAAGCAACCCAAAAGCAGTGAAAAATAATCAAAGACCTTACTTTTAACCTTTGTGAAATGACATTAACCACACAAAACTTTTGCTTTAACCATTGTGAAATGAAATTAACCACACAAACTTTTTCACTTTTAACGCATAACTCTTCTAACAAGCAAAATCTAATTAGTCTACCCCCAAATTATATATATATATATAAAATAAGAGAAAAATGTAACAGTCCCGTTACAAAATCATACCAATAGATTTGTAATCCGTTAGATCATCATGTAATCCCATTAGTGATAATTGATTTAACAGTTACAAACCTCGACGGAATGGTTCCGTAACGGGACTACAGCCATATGGGCCAAAACAATCGGAAAAAAATAGCTGCAAATCAATCATACAATTAATTAAGAGACTACGAAGTTGTAACAAACAAATTGCAAAAACAGTGCAACCCCAAAACATATTAATCTATCTTTTGCTAAGAGAGAAAGAAAACAAAGTCTAACAATTAAATTAAAAAAAAAAAAAAAAAAAAA